TGAATCCCAGCAGCGCTCAGCTAGATAGTTTAGAGTTAATCAAGGATGCACAACATAAGTTGAGTCTGGTACCTCTGTATGCCACCATGTTAGAGAACAGTGACCTAAGATCTAATTGTATTCAAAACACACCTGTTCTTTCCATGTGTGTTTTATAATTTATTTGGATCGTACATCAAACAATGAACAGGTTCAGAAGATGACTTTAAACCAAGGGCAAGATGCCTTCTTGATGAATGATCTCCCTGTCAGTTCTTTGCAAATTTCTGGTTTTGTTTCTTGTAGTTATTAATCTTGACTATTCCAGGAAAACAGAAATAGAAAAGTCTTCTCAAAGTGAATAGGAGTAGATAACGTAGGAAGGTAACCCAGGACTACCAGTGTCAGTGCTGCTTCAGTACTTTTGTAAAGCAAATAAGTAACTAAGCAAATATATAAATGTCAAAATGCTGTGGTGAAAAAGTTCTATAGCACTGAACAGGAAATAATATATTACACAATAAAAACAAACATGGATTACTACAATATTTTTTTATAAAAGGGATTTCCCTTTATAAATATATAATACTGGCTTATTATTGTCTTCTAAAACTAAGAGATTGAAGTTCTACAGCTGTCTGTGTCTACAAAGCAATTAACTGAACAGTCTGACTTTCAACAAAAAGGGCAGCCGGACAGCCGTGTCATAATAAAATGGTTCTTGCTGTGAATGAAGACTTTGTTCTACCTTGTTCATTTGTTATTGCAGTATGAGTCGATTTACTTTTTTCGTTCTCCCATGTTTCAGTCATGACCTTTCCTAGTATCTGTTTTTTGTAATCATCACTGTCATGTTCTGCAAGCTATATTTGGCTCACAGTGCTTTATTTTCCTCGGCGCTGTAGGGAAGCTGAAGCCTCTCTTGTTTGAAGTAGAAGTAGATTTTTTGTCTTCTTGATACTACAATTAGAATCCATTTTTGGAGCTCATCCTTCAATGTGCGATTGCTCATTGCCAACAGAAGCACGCGGCACCTTGTTTTCATCGGCAGGGCTTTTTCCTTCTAACACTGTGGGGGACTCGAGAGTTATGTAACAGTGTAAGATGAGTCATGGACTTCTTAAGTGACAGCTGCTTTAGATATACAGAGTTTTAACTCCAGTCCAATCATTGCTAGATTACTAATACCAGACTTCATTTTCATCTCATTTTCAAAACACGTTTTTTAAGCAACCGTTCCATAAAATGTTTTTGACCTTTTTTTTTTTTCTGAAGGAACTATGAGAATACCACTTCTTTCCTCAAAGTTTAAGCTGGTACCCCAGCTTCTTTCAAGAAATGGATAATTAACTACCAACTCCCAACTGGGCTAGATTGGCTAAATGATCACTAGTTTGTAACCCTTCTTGAGTTTCTAATATTGTTGTTAATGAGGCTTAGCAAGGTATTATCATTTCTAATCAACCCGTTAACCTTTGAAGATACTGCAGTTCCAGTTTGGATAGTAAAAGAGCACAAGACATGATGTGCAGATTTTCAGATACAGTAGCACTTCAAAGTTTAAACCCATTGTGTCTTCCAGTTAATCTTAATGCTCAAGATTGTGGCCTTATTATAAAAACATTTTATTATTATTTTCAGATGGTATCAGGGAAATTGGGTGGTCCTCAAAAAAACATTTTGAGGACATAGTGGGAACCCCACAAATATTGTACAGTAAGCAGGACATAGGGATTTCAACACCTTTGCATTACAGTGAAGTCTAATGCAATAGCAGTGTTACATATAGGTTATATGAATAAATTATTAATGTAAAAATGGTGGCATTCACCTGGAAGAAACATCTAATTAAAAGGAGTTTAGATTCCTCTTGCATCAGACAAAATTATGATGAAGTGAGAAAAGAGGTTTACAAAGTGGTTGGCCATATAGGGAGTATTCATCAGTTCAATGCCTGAGGTTAGCACATAAAAAAAAGCATGTAAAAAGGTATTTTTTGGGACAAGCCCAAAAAGGAACAGTTACAACAACTTCTAATCCCTATCCAGAATGATATAATCTGAAGCAAATTGAGGAAAGAACACGCCTTCAGAATCCCAAGACATACTGATAAAGTCCGTCTCTGAAACTGATCATTGAAACAGGGACCAGAGGACCAAAATTGAAGCTAAGCGCCACTAAATACAGAATCGAAAACAGGAGGCAGTATTACACAAATGACAAGGGGTGTGTCAGCCAGGCTACTGTAAAATTGCACCGTGAAAACGGATTCCCCTGGGCCTTTTGGAAATCTGCTTGATGGTGTTCTTGGAATAAAAAAAATGTGCTTACAGTTAGACAAGATAGACCTTTTTGGTAATTGTTCTCATGTTATTTTTATGTGTATATTGCAAGTCATGCTGGGGTAGAGGGGACAAGTAAGTATACCAGCTGGTGAGTGGGGGGATTATCGTACAAATATAAACAAGCATTTATTCATTAGCAGCTATACCTTTGATCATTGGTCTTTTTTTAAATTATTCAATTATGAATAACATCATTTTTTATTTTCAAATTCGTTATTTTTGTCATAATTACAGAAAGGAATGTAAATGTTTTGAACTGTCAGAAAAAAAATATACAGGGCTTAACTCATTAGTGGGTTGTTATTGATGTAAGTTCCTGTTAGCAATGTTAGTTGTAGTTTGTGATTACTGGCCTTTAGTAATGTTCATGGAGTAACTGTTTATTAAGCAGCTGAGGATTTACTTAGTGGAAAACTATCAAATTTTTTTAGATGATTGAGATGTGCTGGTTTTATTCAAATAAAATCTTGAGGGACAATCTGTTCATCATTTCCAAGTTAAATTTGACAGGCACAAAAATGTTGATTATATGTTAATATCATGGTTAAAACTTTTTAGAGAAAAATAATTATATTTTAAATGCACAGCAGTGGCAGTCTGTGTAAAATGCAGCACACTGTTCATGTCTTGTGGTGTTTTGTTTATGTGAGTTTTTGTGCCGTGTTCTGAAATTTTCAGTGTTTGTCCACTCATCCGTTATAATAAAGCAACTTATTTACCAGTAAGGGTCATAACAACATGGAGTTTATCCCCAAACCACTGTGCGCAAGACAGGACTGTATCCTTCACAGTCTTTGTGGGACACATACTCACTTAGAGACTTCAGAATTGATTTCTGAGTATAATCATAAGGTGCATTAACTGGTTTCATTTAGTGCTTGGAAATACTAGAAGAGTACTTAAATGGTTGTCAAGGTGCCTTTGTTTTAATAAAGTTTAACTCCATGATAAATGTTATCACTGCTCAGTTGTTTGAATTGAATCTTTATAAATTCAGATGATTTTCTGACTATGGTTTCTGAATAGTCATTGTGTCAAACAAATTCACTCTGTGTTTGAATCTCCTTGCATGCTGCACATTGCCAACCCCTATTCTACAAGATCTAGAGCTTGTCTTCTGTTTACTTCTTAGGTAAGGAAATTGAAATCCCATCCTTCAATTATTATATGGAGTGGAAACAATGAGAATGAGGCCGCCATCGCTACAGACTGGTTCAATGTCCCACTTTCGAAAAGGCAGATATACCGCAACGATTATGTGACACTGTACGTGAACAACATCAGGGAAATAGTTCAAAATGTAAGTAACTTTGCATTGATTTAACGGACGGCTTTAACATTTGGCTCATTCTGACTTAATTTTACTCCTGTAGAATAAGTCTTTATGATATTGTCTTTTCTTGGTACCTGAGTTGTGTTAGTATAATTGAGTGAGTTTCTCTTGCAGTAAAGTGCTGATGTTTTTAATCTAGTTGTTTATCATTGCATAAGATGTCATTTACTTCCTGTGTGCCAATACATACATGTGCTTTTAGAATGTGCACATCAGGAATGCTATCTTTTTGCAGAGCGAGCGTCCTTCCCAATAATATATAGTATATATGCAAGTTTTTTTGTATTGTTGCTGGATCTGCTTCCTCCTAAATTCCTAAACTGAAGAACATGGAGACTGTATTCCCTTTCACATGGCAACTTTGAGGTCATGTATAGGCAGACATTGTCTGTACACCATTAGAAGTTGATCTTTTCCAGTGTCTGAAAGTCAGCATATGTGGTCTGTATCATTGGTTACATGATTGCACAATGTATACGGAGTAGAGACATAACCCTGAGCTCTTCTTAACCTTGAACTCGGCAGTCTCACAGTTTTTATTTTAGACTTAATTTTATTTTAGTGATGTGGTGAAGGGCAGTCTACACTCAGGATTGAGCCCAGGTAGTATTGTAGCAAGCATTGCCAAAAAGCCGCAGCCATTATGTGCTACAGCATGGGTAAAAAAAAAAAAAGAAATGCCTACCTAGGTGATGATTTTATTGCAGATCTGAGATCAACTCAGGCAAAGACTGATTTATCGTTTATCTCTATCTCTGCGGTGTCACACCTTGAAGTTATATTGTTACAATAGAGGGATCAGGCTCAGACTCTGTGAGCTTAGTTGACCAAATTTAGCTTTCTAGGGTCTCTCCTGGTCACATTTTACTCATGTAGCTTGCAATATAAAGAATATCCGTCTCAAAATCCCTACCATCTGGGAAAAGATATCACAGTGTACGTGCTTGCTCCATCAGACTCTGTAACAGCTTCTTCCCGCAGGCTGTCAGGGTCCTCAACACCCTGGAATCTACCTGCACCCACTCCAATTCCAGAAACAGGGTTTAAATCCCCCCAGTGTGTTGTGTATATTGTTTTATGTATTTGCCTTGTAATTTGCACTATCTGCACTTTGCACTGTGTGTATCCTGTCTATAATGTCTATGTCAGTGTCCTGTCTGTCCTGCCTGTATTTGCACCGTGGACCAGGAGGAACGATATTTCATTCCACTGTATACTTGTATATGGCTGGAATGACAAATAAATGTGAACTTGAACTTCAAAAAGATATATTTATTGTGCTACACAGGTGCCTTTGGCTTATGAATTCAGTACCACTGGAACATCCAAAGCACGGAATCCCCAATAAGGTTCTTACGAACAGATTCAAGTTGCGGTTCCACTTTCTGAATCTCAGTCATATATTTATTTGTTCTTAACATATCGAGTAACAATGTGAATCCTTTGTTTGGCGGAATGGCAGTTGCCACAATGCTCGTTTCTTATGAATTTAAGTGAATTTCCACTGGACATGTTAGGGCTTCTACTAGTGGCATAATTAATTTATATGAGTGGCCAGAAACATGGATATAAAATGTTGCCATTTTTGTTGTTTGTTGTCTGACATTATTATTGCAGAAGCCTTATTCAGCACTCCTGACCATGTTTTATTTTTGGAATTTTGTTCTGGTTTCTAATTATGGTATTTTCAGTTGCATTTTTTGTGAGTATACTCTTAAAATAAACAAATAAAAATCAAGAATCCATTGCAGGATGATATTGACTGTGATCACAGATAGAATCAGCTGTGTCAGCATCTACCAGGAAAATTCACTGCACAAGCTATCAAGTGTTTAAGGTACTTAATGGACTGTCTCAATGGTGTAACCTAGTGGTAGAAAAAGATTTCACACAAGTTTATGAAGCTGTAGATATACTCTCTTATACACAACTGTACGGAAAACACAAATGTTCTGTAACAGGTCATTGTTGATAGACACTAGCTCAGTTAAAAATGCATTACATTTTTATTTTTTTGTTTCTACTTATTCTGGAGTTCTGGAGAAGCTGAGGGAAAAAAACCCTTATATATATATCTGTTTTCAAAATTCTGTTTGGACATTTTAAAAGTTGCTAAGTACCATATCATATGAAATGGAAAAGGTCTTATTTCCTCTTTCACTTTTTAAACTGTCGTCCGTTGTCTAGGCCCTGAACAAGGCAACCATAGATGTTTAACATCACATTAGGTTTTTATTTCCTGGATTTTTTAGCATAGTTCTTTTCACATTTTTTAAATGGTGATATCTTCCAGAGACTTCAAAACAGAACAGATTTAACTACTGTGTTACTGATGTGATCGTTCTTGCCTTTATAAAAACAGATTCTCTGTACAGTGGTAATACACTCACTGATTGTTCTTAATGGAAACATCTGAATTCAGAATTTTCTTAAAGAGCCATTGAGATGCAGCATATGTTATTCAATACTACATGTTTTTAAATTTTTAATATTTTTATAGCTATACATCTATATCAGGTGATTAGGCTCTCATGCTACTATTTTTTTAAAATAAATTACACCTCAAGGTACTTGCAACATTGCAGTATTCCCCTATTTCTATTGGGGTTTCTTCTAATTGAAATTACTCATGTGATGACTGCTTTCACTTTTGTTTAACCAACAGAGTGTAGTTGTAAGTGTAGCAACACGGAGGTACTACACCAGTACCACAAAACTCCTAATATGAAGAGATCCATTAAATTATGACAGGATAAAACAAGGTTATTTAGTGAGAAGATTAGTACAAATGTCAAGAAGATAATTGATCTGTGTACTCAGATACAGTACTACTGAGGACCAGTAGTTAATATCACCTTGTGTTAATGACAATAAAAGAATGCTTCGGTTCCTAGAATTAATGCAATTCAAGTTACATTAAAATGTTCAAACCCCTAAAACAGTGCCAAATACTATTACATTTTGAGGTTACTAGTTTCTAAGGGGGACCTTGAAATATGTTTGTATTGTGTGACAACACACAAACACACAATAAGAGCTACAGTAAAAATAAATATGAATGGATCACACTGAGGGTGGCATGGTAGCCAAGTGGATAGCATTGCTGCCTTGCAAGACTGGGACCCTGTGTTCAATTCATGGCCTGGAGTGCTGTCTGCATGCAGTTTGTATGTTCTTCCCTCATTTGCTGAGATTTAATAACCAGTCTGAGGAACTGGGACTGCAGTTCCATTTAAAAAAAGTCATTTTTCAATAACTGCTTTTTTCTGTACTTCAGGAATGTCTCTGTAATGTACGGACTACAGTATCTGAAAACACACAGAACTCATTTAGTGATTACATTGCTTACTCTGCAGGAGCAAGGCTGGAGACTTTCTCAGGTATAGTGTTGCTAAATTCCATCCTAAAAAATACTGTGCTTATTTTTTTTAATTCTAGGAAGATAAAAGTCGCCCTTTCCTCGCCTCCAGCCCCACCAATGGCGATGAATCTGTACAGGAGGGCTGGATAGCACAGAACCCATATGACCCCCATTACGGAGACACCCATTTCTACAGCTATCTGGAAGATTGTTGGGACTGGAAACTGTTCCCCAAGACCAGGTTTGCATCAGAATATGGCTTTCAGTCCTGGCCATCGTTTTCAACACTGCAGAAGGTAAAACCTGCTTTCTTTAATAATGTTTTGTCCGACCTATGAAACTCTATTGCTGTTTTCTTTCGGGGGACATGTAATTCAACTCAAATGATCTTTATTTTTCTTGTGCCATCTCTTTCCTTGTTTTGTAAACATTTTTAAAATCTCCAAACTCCGGTCAGCAGTGTTAATTTAACATGTTTGGCAGTAGAGGAATTGGTTATCACTCAATTAATTCTAAAGAAGTGCTCAGCTAAAGGTAACCTTCATAGGACTTGATTCCTAGTGTGGAGGAAATTCATTGGTGTAAAGATCTCCTCTCAACATGTCAACTGTGCAGTTTATAGTCCTAAATAGTGCTTTTACAATATTATTTAAAATAAATGGATAAGGTCCTACACTCCTCACCTATAATTATCTAAATGAGTAGAATTACAAGCACATCCTTTTTTCACCATAATAATTTTGTCTTTAAGTGGGAAAAAATGTTGTATTGCTCTTCTTAGAGAAGTTATTAGAATACAGCAGTAAGATGTAGCAATAAGAGTTCTTTATGATTAAAGAAAAAACTAATAATGAATCTAATGTACAGTGTTTGAATTATAAAAATGCATTTAAGTTTCTGAAAAGTGAGCAAATTATAAATCTTCATTAATTTTTTTTGGTATAATTGTGTTTGAATTTTCATTATCGAGAATGCTGACTGCATGCAGGTGATGAGATTATTTAACCTGTTGATTGTCAATTATGATAAAGACAAAAGTCCTGTGCCCTTAGTGCCATTGGTGTATCGGAAGCTGGATTAAGTCAGTGCACTTTGTCATACTGCCTGGGCAAGATGTTTAGACACATTAATAATATGCCATGAATAAGGAGATATTCCACAAAATGTCAGCCAATTTCCTGATCATAAACTACAATATCTCTAAATCTGTTTTTAGGCTTGAAGAGAATAATGTTTTCATCCAATCAAAACCAAAAGGTCTTGATTGGATCAAATACTAAAGGCTCTACCGTCCTCCAGGGTTTCATCTTGAGTTGCCGTTACTCCCAGACTAACCTAAGACTTCTTAAGAGCAGATACAGTGTCCATGCGTTACTCAGTTATTCATCATGCTCATTTCTGTGTGAGCCTGCTTTTCCTTCCTGTGACTCTTTGTAACTCCCCAGATATCTGCACCAGAGGACTGGAGCTACTCCAGTAATTTCACTGATCACCGACAGCACCACCTCTCGGGGAACAAGGAGATGTTACAGCAGGCCAGTCTCCACTTCTCCCTGCCTGCATCACCTGATCCCCTGCAGCACTATAAAGACACGTTGTTTCTCACGCAGGTGACTGTCAAGGCATTGGAGCCCAAGAACCAATCACCTTGCTGGCTAATTTTGCCTATTATTTCTAGTGCGGAGCGGTTTGATTTGGTCTTATGGAGTGATAACATTTTTAGCATTTACAGATAGCTTGCCTAGGAAAAAGGGTATTGGCTTATTTTTCTGTATTTTACTCTTTAGAAATTCACTTTATAAAGTCACTTTGTGACTATTCCATACAGACATATACATTTAATTCAGAAGAACTAATAGTGGTAGTAATTTATGCATTATTCTGGTTGATGGCCAATTTCTGAGTTTTTACTTCTAAGATATCCATCCATCCATCCATCCATTTTTCTAACCACTTCATCCAAGTCAAAATCGTCATCGCTCCACCCTGATACCCCATCTTTGAAGTCAGAGAAACAGTACCAGCCATGTGATTGTTAATCCATATGTACTGTTATGTTTTTCATTTATATTTGTTCAGGGAATTTTCACAATTTAGCTGGACTAAATCACAAATGTTTACCCAGGGCAGTTTATTCATTTGAAAGTTTGTTAGAATTACACATATGACTGAGTGTCACTCAAAATAGCTGGGAACCACTAGTCTAGCCAACTACTGTATTAAGTTTAGCCTAGTGCCTTACGTTACATGATGAAACAAAACCACTGTGCTCCATACTATATGGCCAGGCATATGACTGCAGTACACTGCACATGGACAGGAAAAAGAACAGAGTTCAGTGAAAGGTGCTTGTAAGGACCCAAATCCTTGAGTAGAACAGTTGAGTCCTTAAAGGTATTCAAGTATGATGACAGTGTGGAGTAGTGGTTAGAGCTCTGGACTCTTGGCTTTTTGGTGATGGGTTGTAGCATCCAGACTCAGCACAGGCACTGCTACCATCCTGCCAACCAAAGCATTCTGCCCAGACTGTTCCACTTATGTACAGTATATGACTAGTAACATTTTAGTATTGTATGAAAGTAGGTCTAGTAAGGTTCCTGTTCATGCACCTGAACAGAAAAGTGTGGTTTCCTGAGAGTGGAATGGGGGAACAGAGCAGAAATATCAGTGGTTCTGCATGTGGTAGAGAGAGGGGAGTCCGAGCTGAATGATGTCAATTCATCTCCTCTATTGAATAGGCAGCTTGGGAGCTAAGTACAGTCTCTGTATGTCACCCTTGCAGTTGCAAGGAATTTGCTGGGATGCTGGCACATGCTGAAAGCTGTTGGTCGACAGTGCTTTGTATGTCTCTTTAGCTGTTCAGGAGCTATCTGCAGTACAGCAGCGAAGTTAAAGTAGAAAAGATTATTTTTGTTTTTGCAAATTGGACATACCCTACTCTGATGAGGAAAATATGAGGTTTTGAGAATTTTATTAAATTCTGTGCTCATCTTTCATTTTAAAGTATAACAGACTACATTGTATTATTATTCAACATTGTGCAAGTTTATTACAGGTTCTCTAGATTTATTAATCGAGCCTTGTATAAACTGTATTGTTTTGTTGACAACATAGAGCTTCAGAAACATCACATGCGGTTTACCCTGTATGACTTTATTCTTATCTCTTAAATCAAATTAATTGCTTGCCTTGTACACTGCAGTTTTTTTTATCTATAGTGCCATCAAAATGTATTAGGACCGGAAAGTCAAAATTATTATTTTTGTTTTTCAGTCAAGTGATTTGTATTTGTGATCATGTGATTAATATGAATGATAAGTACAATGCATTTTACTTTTGGATTACTACAATTTTTGGATTATTTATTTCTGTAAAGTCCACAGTTGGTAATGCATTACCTCAAGGTAACCATGGTTATTATAGGTATCATTTTAAGTAAAAGAAAAATCTTCCATACTTATTTCAAGTTGCATCACCCTACAACATAACAGTGACCCAAATCATACTGCTAATGTAGTCAAGGATCTCATGAGGGAAAGAAAAGAGGACAATCTTAGGCTGGATACGTCAGTGTTGGGATCTATATCCAATTAATTATACATTTTACTGCTGAAAAAAGAACTCAAAAGAACTCAGTAGCTGCAACAAAAAATCAGAAATGATTAAACAAAGAGTTTGGTGAATTCAGTGGGTGACAGACATCATTCTGTTAGTTCCTCAAAGTGCTACAGTATGAGTCATGTACTGACACCTAAGATTACATAAATCAATGTATCTCAACATTTTGAAACAATACGTGATCACTTGAACTTACAGAGTACAGTACAAAGTATGTTATTGTTCTAATGATTGAATGCATGAATTTACCCAACTTAAAACATATCTTATATTTGTACTGATCATTCATTCAGTTGGAAGAACCACTTCTTCCAATTCAGGGCTGTGGGAGAGCCAGAGCCTATCCCAGCAAGCAACAGGCGCAAGGCAGGGTGCACCCTGGTTGGGATGCCAGTCCATCACAGAGCAGACAGACACAAACACACTCACATCAGGGCCAGTTTTACCAGAGGCCAATTAGGCTACTTTTATGTCTTTGTACAGTGATAAAGGAAAACTGGAGCACTCAGAGGAGACCAACAAGAACATGATGGGTTAAAAAAGTAGTGCTCCCCTGCTTACTGTTTCATTAGTGACATAATCACAAAATACAAATTGTATTGAAAGTAAAAAAAAATGTTTTTGTAATCACTGTAGCTTCCATGGTTAAATTTCTCAGACAGAACTAACCACAACTACTGAACCACTGGAGTTCTCTGGCAGATCTGCAGACTATTGGATGATGTGTTTCGATGTCTTACTTCCTCTGCTATCTGTAAGCCCCTCCCTCTGTGTGTGTGCACAGGTGATGCAGGCGCAGTGTGTGAAGATGCAGACCGAATTCTACCTCCGGAGCCGCAGTGAGATCCGAGAGGGAAAGGGCCACACAATGGGCGCTCTGTACTGGCAGCTGAATGACATCTGGCAGGGACCCTCCTGGTCCTCCATCGGTGAGCAGGACGCATCAACAGACACATCTCATTGTTTCTTGAGGGGCTTGGCTGAAGGCGTCGGTAACAATAGACTGGCACCACTACAGCTAAGGCTAGTGCCCAGAGGGCTGCAAAAAAAAAGACCAACAAGTTCTCTCTAAAGAAAGAAAGAGCTGTAGTAAGGCTTTTTGTTGTTTTAAGACGATAATTATTTATGATCACAACATCTAACTTACAGTAAGTGACACCTCAGCGGATCTGGAGCTATTGCGCTGCTGAGCTGTTAGTCATGAGGTCAGACTTGATCTGTGTGTACTCTGACAATGCAGAGTAAGAAGGCGGATGTACATTCCTTTTCCCTTCATTTTCTTTAGTTCCCCTTTTCATTTGAACAGTTTTCTCTAATTCTAAGGGAAATCTTTAATAATTTACAATAAGGAAAGATAATCAAGAAAGAAAGGGTATTTATTAGCATTGAACAACTTTTTGTAAAAGGTCTTTATTTTTTAGGTCTATGAACAGGTTGATCTTTTTATTATTCTTAGTTTGCTGACAATCAAACTTTCAACTTGGGTTCAACCACCACATGAAAATATTTACTTTAATATTTCATTTAAGGTCTTTTTTATCATTTTAAGTGCTCTTTGCACTATGACCAAGCAGAGAAATTGTGTCACCAATTCAAATAAATGGGAACATTAAGTAGGCCGGGGCAGAATTTCTCCAGGACACAAAAGTAAACACCACTACTCTTTCAAAAAGTGCTTTAGGGTTTTAAGTGTGCAAAGTATGCAGGACCTCAGTTCATTGTCCCAAAATAGTACCTCAAATGGTAAAATATGTCAGCCCATTATCTTGGTAAGGTTTGCAGAATCCTGGAGCCTATTTCAGAAGCAAAGAGCACAAGACAACACTTCACCTTGGATTGGATGCCTGTCCCTTGCAGGACACACACACAACCACACAGGGGGCACTTCAGAGATACAGATTAGCCTAGCCACTATATCTTTGAAAAGCAGGAGGATACCAGAGCACCTGGGATGAACCCACCTAAAGGTGGGGGAGAACATGCTAAGCTCCGCTCAGGAGGCTCCAAGGTCTAGGCAAAACAATCAAGCCTGCTCCCCCTCAGACGCTTTTATGTTATCACTTCTGCAATGTTTGAAAGTTTCAAAATCAGTGTTCTGTTTTGTAACAGGTCTACAGAAGCACAAAAAAATGTTAAACTTACTGTATGTTGTGAAAGCTGCCAGGTTGTGAAAGGTGCATAGGGCTTTGCTTAAAGAAAATGAATTGTTCTTTTTTTTTTACAAATTCTGATAAATTCAGCACACAAACAAACCACTTTAAGACCAACATTTCATTTACCAAGGCAAAAAGCACCCTACACGTTCGTGCTTTGTTGTGCTGAAATGGAGCTGCGCAGCTGTGCCCAGTGCTAGCACTCTGCTTGTCCACCTGGTGTCACTGTTCTCTTCACAAACAGCGATTCCCTATTAGGATGGTTTTCTCAAAAATCAAAGACAAGGCAAGGTTGGCAGCTTTTTTTGAGCATTGTCTCCCACCCTGCACCTTTCTCTTTCTAACCTTGCAATTCTTTGACACACACTGTGAGAAACTAATTTCACACAGCAGCCACGCGTCACAGTTAGAGCATAAACCGACAGAGGTAACACTGCTAGGTGTTGCAGTTATTTTGACTGTAGGTTGTAGTCAAATAAACATTGTTGCAAATTTAATTCAGGTTATTAAGTCTTTAATGACCCTTTTCTAGTCCCTTTTTGCTTTTCACTGAGGTTTTATCTTTTCATTCAAAATTAGATTTTTTTAGATTTAATAACCTCCCCCCCCAAATATAAAATGAGAATTATGTAGAGTTCAATAACAAATAGTGTATTCTGCATACCAATATATTTGCATGTAGGTGTTCAGAGTGTGTAAACCGGTAAGTTTACCTATTATTTATCACACTAAATTCTGAACTCATTTGTTTTCCATAATGGAGCTATCGGGATGCTAGTGGTAAATATGGATTCTGTACAATGCTTACTTTGCTTCAGAAGATAAGTAGGTAACCATGAGAATTTGATACTGCACTTCATAACTAAAATAATGTACTGACATTAGACTCCCTGCCTGGTTCTGCATGTCCACACCGAGGAACAGAAAATCCCCAGGCTTTGTGATGTAAAAACAGCAGTATAAATCTGAAGGCACAGACTTACTGCGGTGTTACGTGGTCTTTGTACTGAGTACACTTGAATCGTGTAGGAAAAGTTTGGTACAGAAGCTACACCAAATTAAAGCCTGTTCTCTTCAGACGGTAGCCAAGGTGCTTGGGCCTGGTTAGCACTGAATGGAACCACAAAAAAAGTACATTAATTCTAGAAATCATTGTGGTGGATAAGTGGAGATCAGGAATTTAAAACCAGTGCCCCAGTAAGGGTCCTGATGGTTTCTGGTCATTACAAATCCCATGATGCTAACTGGAGAATTATTGGTGTCCTCACTCATATTCAGTTTCACACCTCTTCAGCCTGACCTCCCTAAGTGCAGTGAAGTCCTTTCTCGTTTCACCTTCTTGGCTGCATTGGCTGCCAGCTGCATGTTGCATTTCAGTGTTTGAATGCACTTTAGAGTCCTTGCATATGAAAAGCACAACACAAAATCCTAAGATCCTAAACACAGCTTTAGAACACATTTAAAATAATAGAACAGAGCCTTTTAAATGCATTTTAACAACTGGATTTGTAATGAAGTGCTTATGTTTGCAGAATGTTATAATACAACCCTTGCAGTTTTAGAAAGCAAGCCACAGATATTCCTCTTCTTTAGCACATGAACAGGTTTTAGTTTTTATACACCTCAGTTTTTTTTACAAAGAAAATGTTTGGAAAGACGAGCCTTTGGAACCATATGGAAACCATATGTATTTTTAATCTTATCTTCTTGCTGATTTACAATAATAAAATGTATTTCTTCTGTACAGAATATGGTGGGAAATGGAAAATGCTTCACTATTTTGCACAGAACTTCTTTGCTCCAATCTTGCCAGTTGCACTGGAGGATGAAGAAATACTTCTTATCTATGCTGTATCAGACCTGCAAAAGGATGTTTCCCTCAGCGTTGTGGTAGGCTTAATGTTACATGCCAACCTATGGGGACTGGGCTTAACTGTTACCACAGAAATTAAAAGAAACCACTGACATTAGCCAACCAGCCAGTGTAATGGGGTGGCATGCTTGCATACCAGTTGGCACTACTGCCACAAAGATCCAAGGGTCCTGGGTATGTTTCTGTGTGGATTCTGCATGTTCTCCCCAGGTTTACATGCAGTTTTTGTGGGAATCTTCATTTTCCTCTCCTCTCCCAAAGGTATCCATTTTAAAGGTGATTGGCTACTCAAAATTATATATTTCTGGGGAAGATAAAAGGGAATCATTCCCAGTACAACCACAGTAACAGCTATAGAACTATAGAGAGAAAGAACCAGATGAGCCAAATGATCTCTTTTCATCTGTGGCCTTTCTGATGTTTGGATTCATTTAAAAATATATAGTTGTAAAGGAGTGGAAATGGGAGAGTACTGTGAGATGGATGTCTCTTCAAAATAAAATAATATTTTTCTTCAACTAATCATATTTTTGGTAACAAAACCCAGTGTTTCTGATGGCATGTGATAAAAATGTTAAATCATGGTAAAGAACTTTACATAATAACACTACTAACAGTTTTTTAAAAGTGATATGCCAAACTTTCATTGGTATTGTAATGCTTAAATTGGGGATGTGGGGCTTTATTTTTAAGGAAACCCAAATTCCATTTAATTCAGAAAAAAAAATTAATTTTATTAAGCACTACAATTGTAATACAATTGTTAAAGTTTTTCTTTAAAAAAATCTTTCCTGTCTGACATACTTTTTTGTATTTTTATCACTCCCTCTTCCTTGTAACTGGCCTTTTAGCTTAATCTCCAAAGATGTTAGTTTTTGCATTTAAAAACATGTTCGTGCTTCTTAGTCAACCTTTTCTCTTCTGTGGTATTTATCTTAGGAGCTTGTTAAAACACATTCTGGGTCATAAAAATATGATAATGTATTGCAAAAGACAGTTTTACAAGACATTACATAGATTTGTCCTAATTTTTGCTTGCAAAGCAGAAATGTGATGCCTACTCAGTTTTTTTCTGCTTCTTTTCTAGATCAAAGTCTACCAGTGGAATAGTATGGAACCAGTATATGTGTTTGCCTCTAATTCTACAGAGGTCCAGGCAGGCAGTGCCACCCTGGCCTATAAAGAGCCTGTGAAGGAGCTGTTGGGAAGGTGTGGGAACTGTACCAGAAGGAGCTGCCTTGTCACCTTTCATCTAGAAGAAAGTGGGGGACAGCTTGGCCCTGCTAACTACCACTTCCTGTCCTCTCCCAAGCAGGCAGAAGGGCTGCAGAAGCCAAAGCTTTCGGTAAGAAGACAGAAGTCCATTAAACACTTCAGTGTAGCTATTCTGAGGTTCTTTTAAAGCGGTTCTCACCGCTTAGTCATTTTCTATCATCTTACTCCTGTTGAGGGTTGCTGTGGCAACAGGCTGAACAAAGTAGACCAGGCTTCCCTTTCCCCAGCAGCTACAGTCTCCATTCTCATCCTGTGGGGTTCTTGGGTGGTCCCAGGCCAGCTGAGAGATATAATCCCTCCGGCATGTCCAGTGGGTCATGCCCAGTAGACCTCCAAGGAGAAGAAGCCCTGAGGGCAGATGCCTGAAGGGTGTCATTAAGAAGTCGTACAGCCTTTTGGAGGGGTTACTGATAAGAAAGCTTTCAGGAATTGTCTCATATAGCTTTGACTTTGCCACACTACCCTATCCTGCATCGGGTCAACCTCAGGAAACCTGTGCCCACTGCTTGCATTCCAGAAGGATTGGTAACCCCAAACATGTCCACAGACGAGACCACGTTCATGCATAGCAATATGTATTCTCATTATTGAGAATATCTCATCCCTCTTCCCATGTTTCATAATCTGATTCTGGCTTAGTTTCTGCTAGACACAGATACTCCCCTGCTATGGTTTGGTAATTTGTGGGAAAAAATACAGAACCTGAGATCTTAGTGTTGAGACATGCTAGAGACCTAGTTACCTTTCATTTATTAGTTACCTCTGAGAAAGAAGTGGAAGAAGAACAATTGTTTAGTCTTATCATTTGGTTATCCACTTTGAAATGCGTAATTATAAGACTCATTTGGTCTAATCTAACCAAGGCAGAATTGGCCTGGTTCTAAAAAAAGACTGAATGGCCCGCACCAGTTTTGAAAAGTAGCAGGCTGCTCTATGGCATCAATAAAGTTGAGAAACTGAATATTCGGTGCTTGCTTCCAAACTTCTTAAAATTTTCTTCCACCATTCCCTGTAATAATTCTGACAATATGCTGTGCAATTACAACGAAACATGAACAAAATTAATTACCCTATATCATTAATCCTTTCGTTTTTTGTATTGAGAGAGGCACCTTTCTGTAATCCCCTACCGATGAAAGGAGATTCAAAGAAGTTTTTTGGTGGTTTTTAGCAATGTGTCCTCTTATCTTTGTTTTGTTGCTGGGGTAGGCATCTCAGCTCCTGTTCCCTTCCACCACCATGTTCGTTTTCCTCCTCAGGCCACAGTGGAACAGCAAGGAGGGCAGTACACAGTCAATCTTCAAACAAATGCCATTTCTCCCTTCGTTTGGCTGGATGCCGGTGATATCTCAGGGCGCTTTGAGACCAACGGATTCCTCATGTTGACCAAAAACATGACAGTTACATTCTACCCCTGGATTCCTACCAGCACCTCACAGCTTGCCAAGTCTCTGCAGTTGACATCATTAATGAGCCTTTCCTGACTGCTGAGGAAAGAGTGCCTGTGGATTTTTGTGACACCTACTGTACACATCCCTGTGCTCATATCAAAGGAAAGATCATGCATCTTTATTACAGCATATAGTTTGCAACTACATAAAATTAGGAGCAGCATTTGGCAAGCCCAGAAAAGAGATTACAGGGTGATAAAGTATTAGAACAGTATGTACTGTAATAATCCCTATCAATTTATTTGGTAGGATGTGACAGTTGTAATTGTTTTGCCAATGTTCTCTGCTTCAAACCTGACTTTCACAGCCAAGGATATATGAATATTTTGTTTTGCAAAAAAAAAAAAGTCACCTTCTGAAATTGTAATAAAATCCAAGATAAACGTTTAACTGAACTGTACAGTTTTTGGCTACATGAAGGCCTTTTGCTAATGATTAACAGCATGATTAATACGAGATTAGATGTGGAAGTCATTTTCTTTAATGATATATGTGTGCTAAAGGTCCTTGAATTGGGACTTCTGGAAAAATATTTGCAGTGCAGAATCCATGTGTCCTGATCTGGACTGTAGCAGTGATTTATGCTGGTTAGTTTATGCTAATTGTTGGGACGTGATGTTTTTGCAGTGGCACCATAAAACCACTTTTGCTGGCAGTTGGGTGATCTGGGTTTCCATCTGTAGGTTGGACTGTGGTGAATTATGGACCATTTTGCTGTGCTGTGCTCAGTGAAGATTTCCTTCACGCATTGTCTAGGAACACCTGCAGAAGAGCTCACTGTACAGCTTGTAAAGACAACAATCCCCTTTCTCTGGGGATTAAAAAATAAGATGCACATCTTTTCTTTCCAAATTTTATTATAAAAGTATTCCAATTACACAATGTTTTTTAAAAAAGACTAAAGTACAGCTTATTTTATCAGCCTTATTTACATTGCAGAATCTACCCACATGGTTATACACGTATTATTTTAATGTTGTTCCATTATTTTACTGTGTTTAGGTTCACAAGTTACCTCCCACATGGCTTTGGTTAAAATGACTGCCTATACTTTTTTTGAGAGGTTAAAGCAGGCAGTTGTATCAGTCTACAGGCTGCAAAGTAAAGACTCTATACCTGAAAAGTAAAAAAAAGTAAACATTTAATTTTGCTGTGGAGCTAGCCTCTATGTATTCCTTTTATTTTTAGGTCCGATTTAAAACTGGTATATATTCTTTTCCTAGAGTCGCAGATAGTTGACTATTTCATTGCCAGATTCATAATCCTATTTGAAAACATCATTCTTTTTCACACACTAAAATACATAAAGGTTCACACACTCCAACCCACATAAGGGGGATAGATCCAATCATCTAAAGGAAGCACAAACATTTCACATGTTTTTTGGACTCAAGTAAGTGGACAATAATTGTTTTTAAATACTCACATCACATACCATCTTACAGAACATTTAATTGAAAGGACAGTTTCAAAATGTTTGCAATCTTCGTATTCAATATACGAATATACAAAAATTAAACATTTTGAATGTAGCCTTCTGCATTGCTAGTTTTGAGCTCCTGAAAAGAAGCTTTAAAGCAAATCACTTCCTAATGTCAAATCATGTTTTTTGGTTTGCCTAATCGCTTGCAGTTCGTGCAAAAACAATAAACAAAAAACAATCAAATATACAAACTCTTCAGTTCATACCTAATATGAAGTATCAACATACAGTAGCATTTAGAAAGAATGGTGCATCAGTTGTTTGAATACAACTAAAAGCACATTTTAAACAAGTACCACTCAAAATCGACTATCTAAACAAAATGAAAAACTACTCTATTGCTAATTGTTAGAGAACGGATGTTTTAAAAACTCACAACATTCTGGATGACTTATAAAGACATCTCTGATTATACAATTCAATGTTTTAAGTAAAACATTTGTTTTATTAGTTTTTCCTATATACATGAAATAGCATGAATAGTTAATATAGCTTTTAGCTCACATCTGAGTATTGTTTCAAGTCAAGATACATTTTAAATTTTGGATATTATGGATCTGCAGTCATGCTTAATGTTGTTTCTGATCATCTATTCAATCTGTAGTTTTGTAACCCAAAAGTATTTCAGAATGTAAAATTTATTTGAGGCTCTCTTCATTTGATGATTTGATGCTTTTTTTTCCTTAAACATAAGAAAACTCTACCTAAAAAATAACTGACTAGAGCAGCATTCACTGCTTTTCCACTCCTCCGTCTAAAATCCCCTGGAACAGTTGTGCATTCTAAATGCCAACATCAACAGAGTAAAGCCACAAGCGTCAAAGAAAAAAGGCAATATCCTCAACCTACTACTGAAACACCTACTCATTACACTCACAAACATAATGGTTAAAGCTTGGACTTGCTTTTAAGCCATGTTCTTTCTTTGATTCTGCAACATTTTGTCAAAAAGAATTTCTGTCAATTATCTTAAAGTTTAACCGTGCTTTTATGGACATTACCCCACCGCCAGAGAATCATGAAAACCAATAATACTGAACTCTGAAAGACTGATGAATGAGTTCAGTATATCCCATATCCTTCACCAACTAGATGAGAAACCATAACATACACATGTAAAGCTAGAAAAACAGGTGTTTTTCAAGATTTGCTCTCTAGGTTCAACTGCATTTTGGATATTTCAATTTAAAACAATTTATCGGTTTAACTGTGATTATTTGGTGCCATTTGGTGCAGTCAGTCAGCAGTTCATCTGAAGTAACCACTGAGCTTCACCTTTTTCAATGATGTTTGAGTGCAGGTTTGTATTTAAAATTGATATCTTTAGTTTTTTTTAGATTTGACACACCCCATCTTACCACTTCCTCTCTTTCTTGATAATGAAAAACCCAACCAGGAAGAGCCATGGGTAGTTTTAAGCCCACTGACAGGAGCTTAATTACGTGCACATCCTTTTGTATGAAACGCAAGGAGGTTTCTGTTGTTGTTTCATGAATACTGTACAGTCTACAATTAAAGCACTGACACCATGACAGGCTTTTTCTTGGTTGAGGATAAATAAATATTTACTTCATTCCATACTGTTCAAAACTAAGCAAAGCCCTGTTATGCTGATATCCAAAAACGTGAATCAAATTAAAGTTCCCGCAGTGAGTGGCTGTTATACCTCTCCCTTGACAACATAACTGTGAGGCGAGGCAGTGGGGAGCTTGTGGTCTCCTGCTTGTTCTGCCTGCTCTTGGGAGCTGCTCAAAGACTCAGAGGACAACAGGCTCAGCTTTCTAAAAGATGTTTCCACTCCACTGTCACACACACTGCTTTCGTCTTGGCTGTAGTTCTCCAGGCCCTGCAGATGCTGGGAGAGGAGGGCACCTGTAGAGATAAATCGTAGCAAAGGGGTTAATTCACCCTTTTATTGTCTGAATTTCTGAAAATAGCAACACTAAAAGGAGATCTGTAGCTTTCAAATAACCAGTAATGGTACTGTTGAAAACTCCAAAATAAGTTTGTATACCTTACCTAGATATACACTTATTTAGAAGTTTAAGCAAAGCCAAATTTTTTCTTAAATGTAACCACCTCCCTTACATTTGCCAGAATTCATCATGCTGTACAAATGTTACATTACAAACAGGTTTGAAAATATCTATTTTTTAAAAAAAGCTTTTAGTCCATGCGGTAGAATTTCCCCGTCCGCGACGGATTTTCCTCACATTTTTCCAAGGGATTTCCTTTCTCTACCACAAAACGAATTTATTAAATTCAGTAATAGTAATACAAAAGCTACAACAAAATCAAAATCCTAGCTATGGTGGTACAGGAAAGCTTTTTGTCAGAAACTAAACTGGAAAGATTGAAAATCTGAAAAACTGTCTTATTATGGAATATTACTAATATTGTTCTGTTTACTCTGTTTATGAAACTGAGATCTGATATCATACATTTCCCCTTCAAGTGATCCATCAAAAACCCCCACAGCAAAACATTTAAAAGAAATCTGTCCCTTAAGAAGAAAACACCAAGGAAAACTGGATTTTTTCATTTTGTATTTTTTTATCTGGCTTTATACACTGACCTGACAGAAGATTTATCATTCTGACAGGTCAAAAGTAAGATGTGATTTAATTCTAATGAAGCAGTTAACAAAAGTAAAATGTAAAATGATCCAAATTATTAGTCGCCAGTTAATAATAATTTCTGAGTAACAGAAACTTATTGAGAACATCTTTAGTTAACAACTTGAGGGTTTTTTTGGTCATTCTAGAATTCTACATCATCTTAGTTACAAGTACAAGTACACAGCCACCACCACACTCATTCAAGGCCCCTCAGGACAATTTCGGATCACCCAGAAAGCATCTTGTACCTCCAGCAACCTTATTTACTGTATCTCTTGCAGTAAATGCCCAGCCATCTACATTGGAGAAACAGGAAACTCGGAGACCGCTTCAGAGAACACGTCAGGGCTGTGAAGATTAAAGATCTCTCCAAGCCCATTGTTTCTCATTTCACCTCTGACGGCCACGACCACTCTAATCTCAAAGACGGTTTTCCGAACTCATACATCAGAAAGACCACCGAAACTAAAATTATTCTGCAGTTAGGATCACACATTCTCCCTTCCCTTAACGACAGATTACTGTTCTTTTAAATTTTCTCCATTCATTGGAAGTTTCATTTCACACCTCTCTGCACCCATTCTGACTTCACACCTCTTGATTGGCCTCTCTTTCTGTCCCCTGCTCCCGCCTCTCACTCCTCCTCCCTCCCAACCTTTGTTCTCCCGCTACTTTACCTTTGCCTACTGCCCTGTCTCTCTCACACCTGAAGAAGGCTCCAAGGCCGAAACGTTGTGTTCTCTTTCTTCTTTTTTCAGCATGGAATAAACCTATTACTTGTTCCTTTGCAGCCTACGCATGCCGACGCAGCTACCCACCTTAGTTACACTGATACAACAAACATTTGTCAAGGGCTGGTTGAGACTAGATATCATATGTTCAAGTAGCACTGTAACTTTTCAACCATTATTTTAAATATAAATATTTCAACATGTATCGCGTACATCAAAGTAACCAATTAGTGTAGTCTTGTCTGCTAGTTTGAAAATATTATACCCATACAGTACATCAAACTGTTTTTATACAGCTGAAACAACTATATAAGAATATCCAAGTGCCATTCTGTGAAGAGGCAGTTTTAGTTACCTTCAAATGTCACAAACAGCAAGACCACAAGGAATATTTTCTGTCCATTTCTTACCCGTCTGTTGGTGAGTGACCTGAGTAGAGACTGGTCCAGATGTGTCTTCCCTCTCACTAGACATGGCTTTCTGAACAATGTCTACTGCTTTATCGTTGCCCATGGCCTTCAGGCCTTCCAGGAGCTCCTTCATGGTGCCACCAGACACCTGACCGAGGAGAAACAATTCAGTTCAGAACATCAAAACCTGGGGTGACCGGAGAAGACTTTCCCAAGCTTGCACAGTCAACTGACTAGAAACAGAGTTTGACTAGAGAAGGGAACTGGAATTCACCTACAGCACTTATCATTATTTATTTTCTTATTGTGGTATTACGCAGGAATTAATACACTTTGAGACTTCTGGAAAAAATTGAATTTTTACTATATTTTGAACTGTGCATTCATGTTCTATAACTGAAGTGTGCTTCACTCATCAACACTGCAAAGTAATTTCCCATAATTTGACTTCTGTGTTCTGAGTACGTTTATTTACAGAAACAGGGACAGCCTTGGAGCAAAGGTTTTATGTACTTATGCGCGAGTCATCGCTGGAAATTTTATGAGATATATGAAAGTAAAAACCATCACGAGGGGAGAGCTGACTTGAAAAAGACCCTTTTACTCTTTTATCGGTGTTTACAACCTAGATCCACAGTCTGTAACTTGGAAAGTGGGAAAATTATAATTACCAATACTGACTTATTTAGTACATGTCTATAAAGAAGACACAAGTGGATTCCAACCCAGGCATTATAAACTGTGTTTTTACTCTAAGGGCAATTCAACATGGTTTCACGCTTCAAATAATATTTACAAGGAAATGGGGTTATTTACCGCAATTCAAGTCAGAATAAGAGTCACAGTTTGGAATACCCCCCCCATTATGAAATATTCCGCAGCTCTAAAGCAAAGGGAGTAAGTCCTGGGCTTGCACACCTTGTAGCTGTCCAGTAGTGTTTTGGCTGGGGAAGGGCTCAGCCTGAAGGCACTGGACAGGATTCCTAATCCTAGGTTTTGAGCCAGGGCCTCCCAGTTATTTGCAGGCTGCTCCAGGACTTTGCAAAGTTCTAGTTTGGTTTGTTCATCGAGATGTTTCATGTCCCCTAGGATAAAAAAAAGGTGCATGCAGGTTGTAGCCCAGAACAATGGAAACTCATTAAAGCAGATTAATTAAAGCTCTTCACTACTTTAAGGGATTAAAGAAAAATCCGACAAGACAAAGTTAAGTCAAATTATGATGTTTCACTTATTGTCTCGATTTGTCATTTCTTAAGCTCTGCACAAAATATTAATTTACTACTTAAATTAGCACATATTTTAACTTCTCTTAAAAAAACCTAAAAACTAAAACTTCAATCTGATATGCCTAGGGTGCGTATTTGTAGATATCTTCCACTGGAATTGCATAAGAGACTATGGTGATCTATGACTTTCATACTTTGTTCTTCAAATTTAAATAAACTGAATTGATTTCTTCTTCAAGTCTTCAAATTAACTACTTTTGAGAGTTTTCAATTTCCAAATCACAGTGATGTGAAATGCAAAAGCAATACAGTAGGATATTGCTATATATGTCCATATTGTCCATATATATGTCCATACAGCCTCCCTAACAATTAACAGATCCAGCTTGCTGGTATTTGTGGACTGAAGTATTTTAAAAAAACGCTTTTGTTCAGAATACATAAAAATGAAGCATAATGATCATGAAATTAATAACCTGTACCCTAATTACGTTAATACACTATACACATCACATTAGGATATATACAGACTGGAATTTATATATTTAATTTCTAGCAGAATCATATAATTTAATTATAGGAACAAGTAAAGGTTTATTCCATGCTGAAAAGAGAAGAAAAAAGAGACAACATTTTTGCTGTGGAGCCTTCTTTCTTCTCTTTTCAGCATGGAATAAACCTTTACTTGTTCCTTTGCAGCCTACGCATTCTGACACAGCTATCTACTTGAACTAATTTATGATAGTTGTTACAGATGAACATCCAGTGTTACTCTTATCTGTATTTTTCTAAAAGTGTGGAAGTCGGTATAAAAATCACAAAAATAAACACTTTTAATGAGTTGTTATTTTCTCTGAAACTAATATGCAGAACACACTTTGCTTTGCATTAAAATATTAGAAACAATTATCTAATCAAAATCACAACAAGGACAGAAATTCAGAATTCAGAAGTTTTACCTTGAGGGAGTGAAACGACAGTTTTTGAATCTGGCTGATACTGTTTACCATTCAGAAGATCATAGATCTGTGAACAAGCAACACAGAAAGGAGCGTTGAGTGAGAGATTTTATATATACTCTGTACAAAAACTCACTTTCACTAATTGTTACTGTATATCTAATTTCATAATTGTGTTTAGAAATACTGTGTATATACATTTCTAGAATGGTACAGTAATTTTTTATTTATTCATCAAATGGAATTTAGTCATAGTGACCATTTATAAAAGAATATTAATGGAATAAAACTTAAAATTAGCAGCTGTGCTTGTAAATTGAATATGAATATTAGGACCTACAAAAATAACATTTTTTTTACTTTATCTCAGACAAAGTGATCTATAGTTTCTGCCTCTCGCCATGCTGCTTTAAAGGACATTTCTCATTCGTTTAATCATGTTTTTAACTTTCCTCCCTTTGATCCAGTTGTCTGATGCTTGACAGCTCACCTCAGAAGACATGGCCATGTCTAAGGGGGTTGTCCCTGGCACAAACCCTTCGTCTTCCTCCTCTTCCTCTAGGTGACATTCATCATCTACGTCATAAAGGGGCTCAGAGTTCTCCTTGTGGGGGTCAGCCCCTGCAGACACCGAAAAGCGTATGTTAGTCATCTGGTGAGATCAAGCCTCATGTGGGAGACCACCCACCCCCCATGGAGTATGGGTGATTGCAGGTGAATCATGGCAAATTATGTGTCAGAAAATATCGACCTCCTAATTGATGGGCACTCTTAACTACTGTAATTAAGGTGGTAAGCATGATGCTGCTGAAATGTCTTCAGCACCACTTCCAGCTTTATTTTCTTTCAGTTTATTGTCTGAAAATAATCTGCTCTGTTGGCTGTTTTATCTAGGAACCTTTATGTAAGTTATTTCTTGACATTAAGTTGAGTTAAGATGTCCAAAGCTACTGGGATGGGAAAGCTCCAAGGAAAACCATATTGCAGCTACAAGTGTAGGTGGACCAATAGGTGGTGCACTTCCATCTAAAGGCCCTTTGGAATCCTTTGGCATGAAGAGAAATGTTATATAAATATAAATACCATTATTATTTACTATCATTGAGAAAAAGCATTACTGATATGGAAAAACTGAGACTACTATAAAAATTGTTATAGTAAAGCTCAAAGCAAAGATTTTGTTCTGCAAAGGATTCAGTTTTTTCAAGCTTGTCTTCAGTTTAAATCAAGTGCAGTAGTATAATTCTTTGTTTAGTTGTCTGTCATCCGGTACATACGAGATGAGTTACTCTGCACCAAAATTAACAGACAAGGAACATATCATAAAAGGGATGGGCAGATTCATAGTAATTTCCTTTCCTTCTTCCAAACCAGTAAAACTTGACTTTTACCGGCGTAGGGGAAAAACCAAACTCTGAAGCAGGAAACCACATCTTAGTATTTCTGTCTGAACTCTGTTCTTGCAGGAGACCCTGATGTATTTAGATTCACCAAGAGCACGGAAAAGTCAAGCACCTACCAGCTGCCATTAGAAGAGCAGTCAGTTTCATAGAGCCTTTTCCTGCGGCGATATGGAGTGCTGTAGACCCATTGTATGTGCAGGCGTCCACATGTGCATTTCCCTACAGAGAGATAATGAGCTTTTCACTTTTATGTTTCTGTCTGATATGGGTATCTCACAGTCTAATTTAATGTTTCTGTAATTTTTCTAAATGGGTATCCCCTACCAGCAATTTATACTCAAACCTCCCGCCACAGTCCAATCAAGATCAGCAGATCTCCATAACCTTAACCCATGTTCATATACTTCGACAAACTGTCCCTATAACTATCCATTCTGTGTTAGAAAAAATGTTTTTTACCCAAATATATTGACTTGGAGAAATGTAGCAGCTCAAATCTGAAATTCAAAATATGAATGGTCTGAATTTTTAAGTGCTATTGAATTCTGTTTCATATTGTCAATAATGTTTCTGGATTTAAAATCTACAAATAATTTGGTGCCTGCAGCCTGTCGAGGTTTTTAAGTACCCAACATTGATTTAGTGCTGTGATGTAAAGCAGAGAGGACATGTACAGCTTAATAATAAAGTATCAGAAGACTAACTATAAAAACAGAATTAAATTCAAAGTATGCAAAAATTGAAAAAAACACAATGTGTTATAAAATCATTGAGGATACACTGTTTACAAGCAGTCCGATTTTTACAATACTGTTTTTTGCAGAAAAACAATATTGATTTTATTAGTCAGTATTCATCCAGGTTAGCTTCTAAGTACCCTGATGTACCTCCATTATTCATCAAGACATATACACCTACAACATACATTGTTCAAATGGGACTGTGAACTCCTGCAGAACTGCAGAAACACTTTCCAGGAAAGACCATTAGAACTGATACAGCAAAGGCACACAGTTTTGTCTTCTACGCAAATCTTAAAAATCAGGGGACGTATACTTTAAACTTTGAAGTTTAAATTTTTACACCCTTCAAAGAAAAGCCATGAAAAAAAATGTCTTTGGTGAACATCACGCCACAGATTACCTCGAGAAGCAGGCAGCCAGCTAAGGAGACATTCTCCAGTTCCACAGCAAGGTGCAGGGCAGTCCTCCCAGAGCTCTGCTCACAGGCGTCAACATTTGCTCCAAATTCAATCAGCTGCCGGAGGCACAATATGCTGTTGGCCAGGACTGCCAAGTGGATAGCATGAAATCCTGTGGACAGGAAGAGTAGTGCTGAAGAAACATGCACATGAAATCAAATACAGTAGACTCAAGTTGTAGGCAGCACAAAGGTTCCTGACATAGTGTGTACACTAAAAATCACGTATAATCAGAAAACCCCCATAGACCCCCCTCCACCAAACAAGTAAAATCAAATCAATAATGCATTAGTATGTGTACGTACTGTATGTAGTTTAAAGTATAATGAAAACAGAAATACAGTACTGTACAGTATGCAAAATAGATCAATTTTACAATAACAAAATGCAGGGAACACAGCAGGTCCACAGCTCTCATAAATAGCTTTCTCTCCGTCTCCATTTGCCTGAATTGAAGAACTAACCAAACTGGTCAAAATCTCAATTTTTAACTCCATTTTTCTTGACCTGCCCTTCCCATTCGTACTTCTTCCTTTCCCCTTCATGCTGTACTTGACTTCCCCTTCATAGGACAAAATCATTTAGCTAATATTAGTGCTATAAGTTCCAATGTGTAATTTAATGCCTCTCACCAAAAATAGATTCCAATGAAACAATTTACCCTTTTCTATGCTATGGACCACTGGCCTTGATGTTGATTTACTTTAAAAATAGAAATAATTTAATGAAGCAAGCCAAGACCAATTTAATACCGTTCTTTTGCTGTTTCTTTTATTAATGTTATTTTAGGTTCAATTGTAAGTATCAATATTAACCACATGAGTTTAAAGGGGAACTTTTCTATTAAGTCATTGTGGAAGTATTGTTATACTATAAAAAATTCCATAGTGCCATAATGATAATCCCAAAAATAGGTCCACTCAGTGCAACCTTCTGATCTAGAAAAGATGCCTTCTGTGAGTATAAGATTGAGACATATAAGAAAGGCTGACATATTCTGACACATTACACCCACTTCACAGTCTTAAGGACACATTAAATCATCCCTAAAAAATAGCTGAAGACTCAGGCTAGGAGCAGCACGTCTTTAATTTTTAAAAAAAAAGATTCCCTAGATTTACACAAAGAGCTTATCATTTGTTCAGTTTCAGTAAATGCTCATTTTTAACTTGGTATGTATTTAAGATAAAACTAGATGTAGAATAATAACCACGATCAGATAACTTTGCTTAAATTTGATTAGAACTGTGAAGGAAGTTTTGTTAAAACTCTGGGAAACAAATTCTAAATTATAGGATTTGAAGTCCATAGCTCAACCTATGTGTTGAACTGCAGCTGAAGACAACACACTGTGATTATGAAGCTTCATCCATTATCAAAAAGCTGTTCCCAGTAAGGTTCACTGCAACCTGAAGTTAATCTTGGAAGCATAAAATGCCCCGGCTCTATGCACCAGTCCATTGCAGGACAGACGCAAACACTGAGAGAACCACAAGGGGACAATTTCGAGTCACCAGTCTCCTACAGCAGCACATTTTTTGTAGGCAGGAGGAAAATAGAGCACCCCGAGAGCTGGAAAGAATTTATACATGTAAATTCCATACGGCATGCATCCCAGGCCTGATCTGAACTACATTCATTGTGGTAGTATGACTATATTATAATAGTGCAAAGTAAAACCAAAAGAATAGGCTTTTCTTCTCAACTTGCACTATCAGACAGCAGCATCATAATTGCCTCATTTTGCTACTGTCCCGAATGTTGCCTGATTTTTATCATGTATTGAATGTATCCGTCTTGCTTGCCTATGATTAATGCCATTTCCTGACTCACAAGATGTGTTTTTCTTGTTTCTTGTTTCACGGCCTTTTACAAAATTACTGCTACTCCCAAATTCAGAACCATAAAAAATTATAATGAGGGCTAGAGGAATAAATTATTATACCACAGTTTCACACGCAGTTAGTGAAAACTCTACTAAAATGCTAACATCATATACTGTAAAACATCATACTGAATTTTAGTACAGTTTTCACTAACTGCTCATGGGGAAAGATTTTTATGTTAATAAAAGAATACTGAAATTATTGCATACTTTTTCACAGCACTGTAAATCTCCCATGCTTTACGTTCTAAAGATTCTGATATTCCCTGAACATCCCGAGGCTGGATTGAAAACAGTAAATCCGCAATCAACTGGAACCCCTTGGACTCTAGTAATCTTCATCTGTGTTGGTGTTTATTTAATCTGCAACATTAATGCATTATATTGTATACTGAAACCCTGCATCGTACAGCATTAAGATGCTGCTTACCTGCAGCATTGGGGAGGTCAATGAGTTCAGCTGCATCCTTATGTTCCAGCAGCAGGTTCAAAATCTTCCCTTCTCCTTCTTTGGCAGCGAGGTGAAGAGCAGTGTTACCGTGACGATCTGTGAGGCTCATATTCGCACCGGCTTTGAGCAGAGCTTCCACTGCCTCTGCCTGCTTGGTGATAACCGCCAAGTGCAAGGGTGTCTGAAACGATGGCCTTCGTGTCAGTCAATGGCTTTTCCCCATACCGTCTAATCTCTAGTACTTTTAATAAAGCGGGAGCAAAGAAACTAAAGATAGAAATTCCTTCATTTATTCATTCATTTTTTCGACCCAAGAGAAAACAACAACTTACCTTTCAGGAAAAAGCAACTGTTCTAAACCTTAAAATTTAGATTAGCTTTACTGGTGACAGTTCAGAGCTGGTCTGGAGTAGACATGGGCAATCACACTTGATAAAGGGACCACACCTGGTAGAGATCGTTTCTCATGCTCAGAACATCATCTCCTGGGAGGGCAGAAATGACTTCAGCCAAACTCTTCACAGCATCGGTCCTGCTGTGGATTACCCCGAGGTGCAAGCCCCTGGAAAGAACAGTAAAACACGACTGGATTCAAGACTGATGTACGATTTAGCTGATATCTATATATATTTGTACACAGGTGGCATGTATGTGGTTCCCTTGAAAAAGGGGACTGTTGACTTACGTGTCCCCGTTCTCATCCTGGACAGCCAGAAGGGGGCGCAAGACGGCCAGCAGCATCTTCACGTCCCCCGTGACGGCGTAGTTAAAAAGCGCCTCGGCGTGACGCTGGGCCAGCTGCATGGCCTTTTCTCCGAAGAGCAGGTCTGGAAAGAGAAGCCACACAACATCTCTGCCACGGAGCAAAAAAAAAAAAACTAAGATGTCTAAAATATGCTGCATGAACAGCTGCGGTAGCAAGTACTCCGCACACCAGGGGGGTTGAAAAACAGGGCTCACCCTATTTCAAAGGAGCACCTTTGAGAGGGCGGACATTGTGAAAGAACATGAAGCACATGATGAGCAAAGCACAAACACAGTAGTGTTTGAGAAAGGCCTGATAAAGGCTTTCATGAAAAAGGCTACTGCAGTCACTCTGCATAATGGTGGCAAATAAATCAATAAGGTAAAAACAGCAATAATCACCACCTTATTATGGAAAAGTTCTGAGTAATACAGCAAACCCGATATTTATGTGCAAGTTTGTGAAGAAGAGTTAATTTTCAATTTCAAAACTGAGGGATAATTTCCAAATATATATATAGAAATAGGCTTATTTTATTCCTTCCAATGAACAACTTGCCTGCGGTAATTTCCTCTTCTTCTGCTGATGCTGGGTCTTCAGTAGGGCTTGAGTCTTCTGTAGAGCTGGATTGCTCTACCTTCGGGGGTAGCTTGATCTCCTCCGATGCTTGTTGACCACAAATCTGTACAATTCCTGCAGTCGCTGGGTCTTCGTCTGTATCACTGTCGCTGTCATCTTCTGCATCATCAGTCGGGCCTTTAGAAGCTGCAGTATTGAAACACTGCTTACAACAAAATCAAAGGCAATCCTACCCTCTACAGCACAATGTTTTGAACTTTTCTGACTTCAGGTCCCCTTTTCAAGGGATCCTTCTCAATCATGATATAAACATTAAACAAAACTGTACCATAACTAATGATATTATAATATTTAGAAGCAAATCTGCTATACAGCATAAATACCAGCTCCAATGTAAGAATGTAAATTTTCATACCCAGTTAGGTCTGAAATAAAAACTTGGCTTTTATTGCTGAGAAATGCCTGTACATCTGCCTGACAACATATTGTGGACTGTGAAGCGCTGGAGAGATTTTCTTAAGTAATGAAATGATAAATCAGGTGTATGTGGAAAACACACTGAAAGAAATGTGAAAGGTGCTTATTAAAACAGTGGTTTTCTTGGTTCACAACACAGTCTGTATCTATTTCACCTTTTAATTACCATTTGGGATATTGTGGAGCCTAAAAGATACTTTGATCTACAGTGCTCTCCAGAATTATTGGCACCTTGGTAAAGATGAGCAAAAAAGACTAGGACAAAATGTCTTTGTTTTTTATCAGCCTGATCTTACACAAAATATGAGAGAAATCCAACCTTTAGTCAGAAAAAAAATCCTTATAAAAAACTAAACATTTTTCTCAAAAACATGTGTCACAATGATTGCCCCCCCTAGAAATTCCTATGAACAAAATCTAATTGACATATATTCCCATTTTCATACTTTATTCATATTTTAGGAACTCTTAAGTGGTCATCCATGACTTCCTGTTTCACTGGGGTATAAATATGAGGTGACATGCAAGCCAAACACCCTTAGTCATCCATCAACAAGAGGTAGATCAGAGAATACACAAATGAAATGAGACAAAAGGTTATTGACCTTCATTAATCAGGTAATGGCTATAAAAAAGCTTCACACCTGAAAATACCCATCTCCAATTAGGGCAATAATTAAGAAGTTTCAAACTGGAGCTACTGCATGATGAACCTGCCTAGAAGAGAACACAAGTGTATTTTGCCCCCACGTATAGTGAAGAAGATGGTTTGAGAGGCAAAACTTTCTCCAAGGATCACAGTTGGACAATTGCAGGCGTTGGTTGCATCCTGGGGTCACCAAGTCTCCAGAACTACAATTAGACGCCACCTTCATGCCAACAAACTATTTGGAAGGCGTGCCAGAAGAAAGCCTCTCTTGTCGTCAAACCACAAACGTAAGCGCCTGGAGTTCGCTAAACATCACTGGAACTTTGATTGGAACTGGGTTCTATGGTCAGACGAGACAAAAATAGAGCCTTTTGGCAACAAACACCAGAAGTGGATTTGGCGTAAAAAGAGTCAAGGTCACGCAGAAAAAAACCAAATCCCCACTGTGAAGTGTGGTGGTGGATCTGTGATGTTGTGGGGCTGTTTTTCTTCCAAAGGCCCTGAGAATCTTGTTAGGATACAGGGCATCTTGGACTCCATCAAATACCAGGAGATGTGAAAGGATGTGAAGATATTTTGTATGGAGGAATGGTCTCAGATCCCTTTATGTGTGTTCTCCTACCTCATCCCGTATTATAAGAAAAGACTCTGCTGTTATCATGGCAAAGGGAGGGTGTACAAAGTACTAAATGCAGGGGTGCCAATAATTGTGACAAGTGTTTTTGAGAAAAAGTTTAATTTTTTATAAGGATTTTTTTTTCTTTTAATAATTTTACCTCACTGAGAGGTTAGCTTTGTCTCATATTTTCAGTGTATGATCAAACTGATGAACAAAAAAGACATTTTTTTCATAGCCTTTTTTGCTTATCTTCACCAAGGGTGCCAATAATTCTGAGGGGCACTGTAATTCCTACAAACAGGGATCCTAGATATCCTACTTAAAAAAAAAATCTTATTACAGAAAGAAAGTATTACTCATCATCGTCATCATCATCATCACTGTCCATGGAGATCAACTCCATCGGAGTCCAATGCAGTGTCCATTATTCCCCTCCACAACCGTCGATCTTTGGCTGTGTGGACGAGTGTTTGTAGGTCATCCCCACACCACTCTAGAATGTCATCCAGCCATTCGTGATGTGCTCGTCCACAGTGGCTGGGTCCACTCATACCTCCGAGCATTACATTTTTGACTAGTCTATCATTATTCATTCGATAGATATGGCCGAATAGCTGGAGCTTATGACCCGCTACAACCTGTGACTAGGTGCACTTCTGACCAATTTGCTGGTGTATTTCTGTATTAGTCATATAATACTACCAGCATACGCGCAGCATAAAGAACCACACTGTGAGCACACAAGTCCATAGAAGGTAGAGTTTTGTCTACAGGCAGATATGTCCACTGCACCATATCGTGTTCAGCTTGGCCATGGCAGTGGCAGCAAGGCCAAGGCAACGTCGAATCTCGTGGCTGCAGTTTGCATCTTTCATCTTCAAGTTGCCCATTTCCTATTGCGATAACTTGTGGCGGAAGGTTATCTTCACTAAAAGTCATCGTTTTAGTCTTTACTCCGTTGGTGTGCAGTTCATGTCGTTTCGAAGCTGAGCCCATGACTCAAAAATGTCGACATCATCAACGAATGTTAGTAATCTACATTCCGTGTACAGAAACGCCTTTCACTGTGTCAAAGACTCGATTTATAACTCGCTCTAGGTAAGTTGTGAAGACTGTCAGCGAGATTGGGTCGCCTTGTCATGTTCCTATCGACGAAGTGAACCCCTTTCTAACCTTAATGGCTGCTTTGATATGATGGCCAATGTCTTCAAGTATTTGTACAAGGCGATTGCCTATGCCGTACGAGCGCAACGTGAATGTAATGCGGACTCCATCTGTATTGATATAACTCGTTGCAATATTCTGTCCAACATTCTATAATTGCATTGCGGTCCTGGTGTATCTCTCCATTCTTGTCACGTATAGCTTTCCGACAGGGTTCCCACATGCGTGTAAGCTTCGCCCCTGCGGTTTTGTACCATGCATTCCTCAATCTGTTTGCATTTTTGTTTGATCCATTCTTCGTCCACTGCAATTGATTTCTTGACCAGTTTGCAATCCACAGCTTGTTCAGTTTGTGTGTCTCTGGGATGCTTACCCTTTCTGCCTTGTGAATTGCCCTTTTTATAAATGTTAATCGATCATCAAGGTCCATTAGCTACAACTTGAGGTGCTCAGTATATTGCTGGATCATGTTTAAGTGAGGTCAATAGACTGTCTTGGCCTGCACACGTACCCTGTGCAGTTGAAATCTGATTGGGGCAAGTATGAGACTGTGGTCTGAGTAAACATCTGCGCCCTGATATGTACGGCAATTTCTCACTGCCGTTTTCGAACGATTGTCGATCAGCACCAGGTCAACCATCAAAGTACAACTAAATCAACCGAATTTCATATTACGATGATTTTTAATATAAGAGCAGAATCAAATCTAAAGGTGCAATAACTCAAGACTGCAAGGCTTTTTTATATCTGAGAATGGCTTATTAATAGTAGTCATTGGCTTGGTATTGGCAATCAAATTGGACTTTATAGCTTTCTTAAACCATCTTGTGCAACAAGCAGAATATTAAGGAGAAATAAAAGGAAAAACAAAAAGCAAATCAGTATTATCAGTGAGAGCTTCTTCATTGTCACATATACTGTATTTCCTAGCCTGGCTGTATATTCTGTGGGCCAGCTGTGCACAGTTGAGAGCACCCCTGTTATCAGTGATTTACCAGCTTGCACAAAGATTGTTGGATGGATAGTTATGGCGTGAGAATTGGAAATTTAGAAATTCCATGCAAAATTAAGGGGAATTCTACCTTTGCAATGGTTTTCTGAACAGTGTGAATTATGGCACTTTCTGCAATCAGAGAAAAAAAACAGGACAGAACAATCTGAGAATGATCGGAGTACTTACCATGCTTCATTCCTGCACCAGGACCTCCTGGACCATGGGAGAATGGATAACCACCTCCAAAATTGTTATAGCCTTGGTATCCCTGGAAATTGCATTGGCCTGTTAAAGAAAAACAAAGAACAGTTTGGGTATTATATATATATATAGAAATAACTACAGAGAAATTACACTTTTTCAAAAACAAGTGGCTGCCATCACATCATTCAGGTGGGTGCAACACATTGGTGGTGGTGGAGGGGTGTCCACATTACCTGTAAAGCACTTTGAGTGGAGTGTCCAGAAAATTGCTAAAGAAGTGCAAGGAATTGTGAATTATTATTTTAAAATAATCTGAAAGAAAATAACACAATATTCTTGGGTGCTGGACCTAAAAAAAATACGGAATATTTTGGGGCATAACAAATCTCAACATCCTGGAATCTACTTATACCCATTCCAATTCCAGAAACAGGGTTTAAATCCCCCCCAGTCTGTTGTGTATATTGTATTATGTATTGCCTTGTAATTTGCACTATGTGTATCCTGTTTACAATATCTATATCAGTGCCCTGTCTATATTTGCACTGCGGACGAGGAGAAACGATATTTAGTTTCAAGGTATACTTGTATATGGCTGGAATGACAAATAAACAGGAACTTGAACTTGAAAAGGTAGTGCTTAGCTAGGTTAGCATATTTACTGCATTCCTGAAAAGACAACATGCTCACAGGACTGCATCTACAATCTGGAAACAAGATTGTCTCCATTTAATGAAAATCAGAGTAGTGCATGATTTTATATTGCAAAGGGGACATTTTAAGCTTTCATTGTGTCTTGATCACTGTATGGGTAAGGTTACAAAGAGTTACAATTTTATACAAAAATTTTACAACAATTTCATTGGCAGCAATTGAATGAAATTATTTTTTTCTCAGTGATGACTTAATTCTTTGAGGAACATTTTTTTTATTTTCCGTGAACCTAATAATGCACCACCTTTAAGGAAATTGAACTGTAAAATGCATAATGTCACTGCTATAACAGCCTTGCAGGATAATCTTATTGAGACCTGAGAAAGCTGTCTTCCTACATATTTAATTTAATTCCTTAATTATCCTTTATGTATGAAATACATTTTACTAGGAAATAAAATGTTATGCATGGAATATAGTATGACAATTCTGTCTATTTATCTCAGCCGTGACACTAAAAGAATGACAGTGCTATCACATTTCCTAGCAGGCTGGTGCTTGTTGAATGGGGATCAAGCCTGAAAACATGTCCACACAGGATGGCTGTAAATTTATCATAGATGTCTCATTCACCTCCTCCAGTGCTTGGGCCCCCACCGGTTCCGGGACCCCCTCCTCTGTACATCCCACCACCTGCCCCAGGGGGACCAAAGTCCTGGAAGTTTGGTAGGGTCTTCTGCCTCTTACGCTGTACCTCTTCCTTGTCTGCACACCACAACAGAACACAAACCATACAGTCAAATACATGGGTAGACAAACAGAAGCATTTCCAAACATCTCAACAAACTTCAATTCCCTTCCGTAACACAATTCTTTAACATGGCTTTTCTAGATTAATACCCATTCAATTATCTTGTTTTTTCCTCTTTTTTGTTTCAAAAGTTACATTTTGGTATTGCTAGGAACACTGTTTATTTGACAGCATAATACTTTAACTAAATCTCTCATTGTGGGAAACAACCGGCCCTATGTTGCTTAGCAACCTCAAGCCCTCGGAAACACCTCAACAATGTGTGAGGATTAAGTGTAACTCATGATAACATGTAACGTAATTACAGTTAACCTGAACTTTACTAGCAAAGGGGACTGGAATTCCACAAACATGAGCCTTGTGAGTGACTCCATGACTCTGTGTTGTCTTCTGTAATGGTACATTGTTAGACTTGTAATACATTTTAATCTCCTCCAAAGGAGTTCACTTTTAAAATTGAAAGCAAAACATTTGCATAATAAAATAATACATAGTACCATCTTAAACACTGACTGGAGACCTGAACTGAAGAGTCACCACTGTTAACAACAATCAAACTAATTATAAAAGCAGAAATCACTACCATATATTGCAACTCCTGAAGAAATGTAAGAATTCATTTTGCATAGTGGTATATATAGACAACACGTGGATGATTAGTGTTACTGCCTGAAAAGAAAATATTAATTTCAATTAATTTAGTAAATATTTATTAATTTACAGAGGCAATAAAAAAACATAACCTATTACAAACATATCTATATGGAATACTATTCAAGATATGCAATAAAATTAATGTTTCTGTTGGCTATATTGATGGCTGAGAACAGGGCACAATTACCTATAACCTGTGGATGGTATGTGAAGGGTTTAGGTTCACTTGTCTCATTGTCAGACTTTCTCTTGAGCTGCACAAATACAGAAGTAGGTTTCTGCAAGTTGAGGTCCCGGTACTTTGGTGTCTTAAAGACTATAGCAAACTGAAAGAGGAAAATACAAGAGAAATGGTTATTACTTCTAAAATTGTGTTTAAACTAATGGGAAAATTAAAGCGCTTTGTCACTGCAAAAAGTATTATGCATGCTTTAATAATCATAGCGCAGAAATAAATATTTTAAAGAGATGTAATTATAGACATTAACAGTAAACAGTAAACCTTAATGTTAACATTCAAGATGCACTGTCATGTGTAAGAACGTGTACCACCACAGTTATGAACTGACAGGGGGTAATGATATTTTCCCAAGTAAATAAGTTAAATAGGTCTCAACAGTCTTATTAAGGATTTCATCATATTTTAGAATATTGTTGAAGTAATTAGGCTCTATCATTAACTGGAAGCATTAAACAAAAACACAAAGCTGACTGTCATAAATCATGTTTGAAATCCAGAAGCCAACATAAGTTTATGCATCCTCTTTTAAGTAAGGTGACCTTTAACACATTTCAACAGATGACTTTATCTACCCAGGTGAGCAAGAGACATAAGTACTTTTTGACTTATTTAACAAGGATTGCTGCTCACTTTCATCAAATATGCACAGAACAATTAGAAACAACATTAGCCTTTTGAACATTTCCCCTCCACAACTCATCCAAAAAAAATGAAAAGCACACTTTGTGTGAAAGATATTTGACCAAAAACCCATCAATACACATGTGAGAATCCTGCAGATAGTGAGCATGTTTTGTCAGCTTTCAGACAGGTGACCAGGAATCAAAATGGTATTTCTAGGGAAATTATGCAGATGCCCCCCCAGGGCTGCTAACAAGCTGGGTTCACTCAGTGCGATTAACTGAGAGCTACAGGGAAATATTTTTCATCCCCTGAACTGACCTGCCTGTGCACATCTGTGGGAGAGAAATCTCCATAAGCCTCCCAGGCCAAACCCGTCTCATCGTCCTCATAGAAGCGAACCTGTATGTCATCTGTTAGAAACAGCACAACAAGGTCAACAGGTCAGGGAAACTGCTTAGACTCCACTGTAAAACAGTTAGATGTTTGATTCTGCAAAGACTTGTGCAAATTATAAAGCAGAAAATGTATATACAATATTGCTGTAATATCACATATTTAGGAAAATGTAATAAAATACCAAGACTGAAAAACATAACGCCTAGTTTTTGCTTATGTCCGAGTGCCTTTAGCTCAAATATCCACATCTACCATGCAACAGAAATCCTATTTTTTTAAAGTCAGGTTGTCCTTACCTGCCTTTAAAAAAGCCCTTTCTTAATTTCTATTTCTGCAAATTACAATTTTAGCATCCCTATGCCTCAAATCTTGATCCTAAATAGTGTCATTTAAAAATGTCATTAGAATTCCAAATTTATATAACAAAGGAACTGTATCGCAAAACATGCTGAACATTACACCCTAAAAGAAACAGAATCTTAACCCTAAGCATTGTGCTGTACTCTAACCTGTAACACAGGTATTCAAAGGATATTTGTGCATGTAACATAACATTTTAGATTTCTATTTCACCTGTTTATGTGCCCCAAGTTAAATTAACAAGTCTCCATGATTGTTAATATCTGAAGAAATCATAGAAACCCCTATTTCTTTTCATGAATTTTTAATTTTAATTTTGTGGGAAATAATTATGCCAACAGGGTTTTTTTTACACTTCTAGTAAAAATCAGCTCTTCTGAAGTAGTGTATGTGTTCTTCCCACTCAAATCTTTAAAATGACATTTTTATTGGTAGTGTAATTAAACCTGGTATTGCTGGATAATGCTGATGTTTTACCATCTGAAAAAGGAGATTTTAGGTGTGAAGAAACAAAGGATATACATGATTCTCAATTATTTCCTTTTCAAAAACTAGGGTGATTTTTGGCAAAGTGATGAGTATTAATCCCTACTTAATTTCTTTGTAATATCCATGACACAAAATTCATCATACACCCTGAGTTTTTGTTTTTTGACTCATAATGACACACTGAATACATAATTTGTCTTAAAATTTTATGTTTTTTCTGAGGTCTAAAAAGTTACAGAAGACAACTGAAGACAATGTCATCTGGGACAAGTACACTCCTGCTCTACAGAATCCACAAAGTACAGTACTCTAATTCCTTTAACATTTACATAACACCTGGGGAATTCCCTTGAAAGAAAGTTAGGGCTGATAACTTCCTTGATGAAAGGCATGCTAGACTGCATTACTTGCAAACCACCAAGGACAGAAGATCATAATCATGCAAACTCGAACAAGAACCATGTGCTTGTTAGTACAGGAAGTTTTCATTTTTCCTTGCTAAACGTGCTGAACAAGTCTCTCTTTAGGCTGTACGGCCAGCTAGTACTAAGAAATGGTTTCAAATCATTACAGCAAGTGTCCTTAAACAGCTGTTTTTATTTAACTGAACTGCTAAGACGTTTCCCAAATGTTTTAAAGATGTTTTATTTTTACATTAACACTCATCTTTCATGTTGTGCACATGCATAAATATTTTAAACAGCCTATTCTACTCATGCAAATTCATAAAAGCAGCTTCTGTAAGTTTATATTAACATATCTGTTCCTACATTTTGTAATTATTTTCCCCTTGCTGTACCTGTGTACATTATAGATATTTTTAACTTTTCAAATGATGCTAATCTACCATAAGTTGCATTTGTGGTATTTTGTTTATATTGTATAGTATATATTGCATATACTGTATGTCTTCATTGACATATAAGAGGGACTCTCTTCACCCACCACTTCAGTGCAAATGGTAGTCCTTTTGTGGTAGTTTATAATATATGACTTATAAAAAGATGTCAAAATGAAATGTACAGCTATTATTATATCTAATAAAGAGGTAATGATAAATTGATTCATTGTATAATTATACTTTACTGTATAGTGCAGGGATCAGCAATCCTAGGCCTAGAGGGCTTGTACAGTATGTCTGTTTTCACCTGAATTAGCTCTTAACAAGCTCAATCTGGCCATTAATAGCTTAACAGGACTAATTAAACAAATTCTTTCAACTCTTCAGACACCGGTGCATTGAATAGACCTATTAAATCTGCAGACACACCAATACTTAAAATGTGTAGCATTTTTAATTTGACCAAATTAAAAACAAAAACAGAACCTACAGATGCAGCCATTCAAAATGCGCGGGCGATACTGCATTATTTTCCGGTGCACTGTACGCAGTCTACCGCTAGTTACCGGTAAATACCGCTAGTTACCGTAAATTCTCCTATAATACCGCAAGCAAAATAATAGTATCCGGAAATTCCGCAAGGTGGAGCTAATAAAGCTCAACCTCTCATGTTTGAGCTGTCGCCATCAAAGTCTTTAGCAAAGATATTACTAATAGTATTAATAATGAATGACCTTGGACAAGCTGT